GTGGCAAGGAATTGCCAGGAAGTTTGGATGACCTAAATGTGACGTCACAGGCCTGCACAATTTTCCCAGAGCAACCGAGGACCAGAATCTTCAAAGAAGGTAAGCTGGTTCGTAAAGAGATGGTGTCGTCTGTGCAACATTATAGATCATAATAGTACAGGGTTCGTATAGTCTTGAAAAGTCCTTGATTTTTGAGCTAGGTCCTTGAAAAGTCCTTGACTGCAAATTTTCCTTGAAAAGTCCTTGAATTTGGAAGAAAAGTCCTTGAAAATGATAATTTAGTTCTTGAATCAGTCTTGGTTGTTATAAAGTAATGTTTTGGGGATCAATTTAGCCAAGCTTTAAAGCAAAATGACAAGTATTCAATCCTTTTTGCGAGACTTGCTGTACTGTTGTACAATATTGCGGCCAAGAAATTAATAGAGATTGAGGGAAATTTTCTCCAAAAGAAAAAGTTCTTAAAGAAATTGACTGCAGTGTTAGTAAGTTTACTAACTGTATTTTTCTCTTTGTAATTGGAGTCCTTGAATATTGAAAATTAATCCTTAAAAAGTCCTTGAAAAGTCCKTGAATTTTGTATGAACAAATCTGTACGAACCCCTGATAGTAATAATCATCATTACATATCATTTCAAAGCACGCATTTCTCAACACTATATCTTTCCACTACCTCTCTTCATGTATTTCCTATAGTGCTGCGCGGTCTATTTAATCATATCTAAATTGCCGCAACCTAACATCTATTTCACCCCGGCCCTGCTCCCGACCTGCTTTCAAATAATCATTCATTTTAATCAACTCCAATTTCATCATGTCAAAGGGAGAATTGCCTCAGAAAAGTAATCTTTCGTTTGTCAGCCATATTTGGGAATCTTACTTTATTTCGAAGTACGCGTGGAACGGTTTTTGGCGATTTTCTCGACTTTTATAGCTTGAAATCGTCTGAAACTTGCAGAATTTATAGCCAAAGCACTTCCGAACAATCGGCCATTTTGTTTGTTTCCATATATGGCATAGATTCGTCCATAAAGGAAGCCCAAACCTTAATTCCACTGTTCAGAGTATAAATTAACAGTATCTATTTTCCAACACTCCTGGATRTCAGTTCAAGGAAGCTGCAACTTTGAGAAGTCAATGTGCGGTTATAAGAAAGACAAGAAAAATGTATGGAGACGAGGAAGCGGGTCAACATTGACRTCAAACACTGGTCCATCATTTGACCACACTACGAAGACGAGAACAGGTTGGGCATTAGATTCTCAATAAGTGTGATTATGAAATGAACGGAATGGCAGTTTGACTTGTGCCTTGAAAGGTTCAGGGCGAATAGTCTCCTTCACGGATTCCTGCGCCATCTTGAAAGGTAGCCGTGCCTTTACATCGAAGTGAAACAGCCGTTGAGTATGCAATGATAGATACCTGTGAATAATTGTCTGTAGGTGTGAAAGAAGGTTTCTATCATTGCACGCTCAACGGTCGTCTCGCTTCTCGCTTCGCAAAAGCACGGCTATCTTTCAAGATGGCACAAGGAACCGTGAAGAAGACTATTAGACGGAACAACTTCCGCCTACAAGCACCACATGCAAAATATGCCAAAGTCATCCTTTAAACATGGTTTTAGGGATATTTTTTAAAGAAATATTTCGGATCTCTACCACAGTTGTAGCCATGTTGTATAAAAACTTAGCCGTGTTGACAGTTTGTGAACACAATCAAGTGAACTATGGTGACGCCCAATAAACTCCGAAAAAGCTATCCACTTCTGCGTCTTGATTGGCATGGTGTTGCATACCCAGTGGATAATCAATATACTGTCATTCTTTTGTAGGTTTCTACATGTATACTGAGGCTACCGGTATTAGAACTGGCAGCAAGTCTCAGTTCGTCAGCCCTGTTTTAACAAAAGCACGATGTGCTACTTTCTACTATCACATGTATGGGGATCATATCGGTGAACTAAACGTGTACGAACGTGTGAACAACGTGGACACGCGTGTCTTCCACTTAGCAGGCAACCAGGGAACTAAATGGTATAAAGCATCAATTTCCTTAACGAAGCACAAGCCAGATTCAGGTTTTCAAGTTAGTATTAACGGTTATTCAGACCTCTAATTACTAATTATTATTATTATTATTCCCGCCTCCCCTCCCCCTAAAAAGGCGAATCGGCCTGTCTTTGATCTTCNGACAGACAGACAGACAGACAGACCATTCGGCAGGTATAGATGGGCGAATAGGTTATGTTCTGTATTTTGTCTTGCAGCTTGTTTTTGAAGGTGTTCGAGGGATTGGGTACAAGGGTGACATTGCTATAGATGACATATCAACTTACGTTAATTGTACCAGTCCACCTCCGACATCGGTGCCCGTGACACCAACAGGAAAAGGTTATGATCGTTACTATTTGAAGTTATTGATGGATTAATTGATTGATGGATTTAGTGAATGATTGATTTAGTGAATGATTGATTGATCGAATGTTTGATTGATTGAGTGATCGATCGATTGATTGATTGATTGATTGATTGATTGATTGATTGATTATATAATTCATAATGATATTTTAAAATTGTCATTGACACGCAAGAGGTCTGGGGAAATCTCCATTAACTCAATTACTTTTATAATACAGTACAAAATACTACAGTACGTCTCGTCAATGGGATTACAAAGAACTCAGGACGGGTAGAGGTACGTTATAACGGAACATGGGGAACAATTTGCGGCGATATTTGGACACCAGAGAACGCAAGAGTTGTTTGCAAGATGCTTGGATTCCCTGGAGCGACATCGGCTGTGAAACAATCTCCAAGTGGCGGAGGTAGCGGTACAGTTTGGTTGGACGAGGTACAGTGTACCGGTTCAGAGACTAATRTCGATCAATGCAAGCATGCAGGCTGGGGCGTCAACAGTTGCACCCACGGGAAAGACGCCGGGGTTGTATGTCAAACAGGTAAATATCTAAGTATTGGTATTAGAGTGGAAGGGCGTCTATGGCTAGTGCCTTGTAAGAGACCTAACTCCCTCTTCCTATAATATAAACTTATTTCTTTGCTAAAATCAGTAGTCTTCAAAAACCCTTGAATTCTCTAATTTTGTAGGTCCAGTCATTCCCTCTCAAAATGGAACCTGTTCGTTCGATATCAACCTCTGTGGCTACGTCAACGGGGACAGAAGCGTTAGCGAGCGAGACTTTAAGAGAAGAAAGGGAGGCACGCCGTCTTCATTCACTGGGCCTAGATCTGACGTCAGTGGAAGTGGTATGTCATGCTATCGACTTTTTACACTGAACTAGAAATAATGGAAAGTCATAGTTATTTTCAAGCACTATAGCTTTCCGTTATTTGTAGTTCGTGTATTTGCTAGTGCTACAGGGTCCACATAGTGGCATAATTCAGTTTATACTCTGAACAATAATTTCGCTGACAGTTTAAACATGGACTTCTGTTCATTTGTGCCTAATGTGTTCTTTTGTTCTATCGATGTGCTTATTTAAAGAATCCCAACCAACCACAATACAGCGCGCTCTCGTGTCATTGTTTACATACGTTTAAATGCGTCAAGGATACAATAGATTATAGATTGATAGTACCTGTGAGGTACTTAGTTAAAGGTATTTCTGTCCAAACTGAAAGGATGGAAGACGATTCACGCTCCTTTTAAGAAATCCTACGAATCCGCCATTTTCGTGTCCACCTAAAATGGCGCTTCGGATCACAAGGTAAAGCGGTTGGTTTTGATTCTTTAAGTACCTCACAAAGCGACCACTCAATACTACGAGCGTTAAAACTGGTCATATTTTTCAGGTTTTTACATGTACTTGGAGACCTCCTACGGAAGGACTGGTGACCGGGCAAAGTTGATCAGTCCCATTCTCCCGTCGTATATAAAGTGTGTGAGTTTTTATTACCACATGAGAGGGGGTGATATAGGGACTCTCAACGCCTATATCCAAGTCAATAAAACACTGTATAAGCGTTGGAGCCTGAGCACTGAACAAGGAAGCCGCTGGCTAAAAGGACATATGCCGATTAATGTGACAGGACAGGTTAGACGTTGCTTATACAGCTTAAAGGCCGAATTAGGTGCAGCTTTTTCCTATAACAATCGCATGTAATATGCCTAATTATTTTTTTAAAGTTCGGTATCCTAGTCATTCGCGCGCTGTGATTGGCTAGCGCGCGGTCCGGTTTTTCACGATCTGCCTGGTCTACGGTATCCTGCACCTATGCTGCGAGCAAAGTTACATAACATACAAATAAAAAAATAAAAATTTATTTACCGGCTATAAGTCGGCCCGTATAGGAAGACACTGCCCTCCGTCTTTTATGTACGGACCTCGCTGCGCTCGTTCCGTACTGTCAAGACCTCGGGCAGTGTTTTCCTATACGGACCTCCTCGCCGGCAAATAACATGTATGTCATCCTTATGCTATAACTGTCGTAGGGTTATTAAACAACTATTTTGAATCTCTACGACAGTTGTAGTTATGTTATAATGAAGAATTGTAAGGTTTTATTCNCGATCAATGCAAGCATGCAGGCTGGGGCGTCAACAGTTGCACCCACGGGAAAGACGCCGGGGTTGTATGTCAAACAGGTAAATATCTAAGTATTGGTATTAGAGTGGAAGGGCGTCTATGGCTAGTGCCTTGTAAGAGACCTAACTCCCTCTTCCTCTAATATAAACTTATTTCTTTGCTAAAATCAGTAGTCTTCGAAAACCCTTGAATTCTCTAATTTCGTAGGTCCAGTCATTCCCTCTCAAAATGGAACCTGTTCTTTCGATATCAACCTCTGTGGCTACGTCAACGGGGACAGAAGCGTTAGTGAGCGAGACTTTACGAGAAGAAAGGGTGGCACACCGTCGTCATTCACTGGGCCACGATCTGATGTCAGTGGAAGTGGTATGTCATGTTATCGACTTTTTACACTGAACTAGTAATTGAAAGTCATTTCCAAGCAATTTCATTTCCGTTATTTGTAGTTCGTGTTTTTGCTAGTGTTACACACATAGCCACATAAATTGACTTTTTACTGTGAACAACAATTTTGCTTACATGGACTTCGTACCGAGTCTGTTTATTCATGCCTGTTGTGTTCTTTTTTTTCGTCAATGAGCATGTTTAAGAGCCTCACAAAGCGACCGTTCAGTAGTACGACCATAAAATTCATATTTTTCAGGTTTTTACATGTACTTGGAAACCTCCTACGGAAGGACTGGCGACCGGGCAAAGTTGATCAGTCCCATTCTCCCGTCGTATATAAAGTGTGTGAGTTTTTATTACCACATGAGAGGGGGTGACATAGGGACTCTCAACGTCTATATCCAAGTCAATCAAACACTGTATAAGCGTTGGAGCCTGAGCGCTGAACAAGGAAGCCGCTGGCTAAAAGGACAGATGCCGATTAATATGACAGGACAGGTTAGACATTGCTCAAACAGCTTTAAGGTCGAATTAGTAGCAGCTTTTTCCTAAAACAATCGCATGTAATATGCCTAATTACTTTTTTTGCGGTCCGGTATCCTAGTCATTCGCGCGCTGTGATTGGCTAGCGYGCKGTCYGSYYTTWCACGATCTKCCCGGTCCACGGTATCCTGCAGCTAGGCTGCGAGCAAAGTTGCATAACATACAAATAAAAAAATAAAAATGTTATATAGGAAAACACTGCCCTCGGTCTTTTATGTACACACCTCGCTGCACTCGTTCCGTCGTACTGTCAAGACCTCGGGCAGTGTTTTCCTATACGGACCTCCCAGCCGGTAAATTACATGTATGTCATCCTTATGCTAAAACTGTTGTAGGGTTATTAAACAACTATTTTGAATCTCTACGACAGTTGTAGTTATGTTATAATGAAGAATTGTAAGGTTTTATTCAGTGTTTTCTTGGGATATTGAATCTATTGTCGGTGATCAGAAAACTGCAAGGAATCCATATCCCGAGGGTCGTATTCTTAATGCTGGTATCTAATCACATGCAACCAAACACCATCCTTTTAAATTCTGTATCTACCCCCAACCCCTAATAATCACCAATGTAAATATCTAAGACTGTGCTTCTTTTGAATATACAGTTGGTGTTCGAGGCTATTCGCGGGAACGACTACAAGGGTGACATTGCTATCGATCAAATAGTAACATTGGAAACTGACTGCGACGTTCTACCTCCCAAAGCAGAATTCAGCCCAGATCCAAACGGTGAGAGAGCAGGAAGAAAGCATAAAGAAATTGAAGGGAGTTGAGAAAAGAAGAAGAAATTGAGGGTTCTCCACCTCTTCAAAGTCTCAAAGAGTTTTATTTTCCAGATAAACTATCTACTCCCCCCCACTCCCCATCCTATTTTAAACTTCTCTCATAATCCATCGGTGAATTAAAGCAMGGTGAAACTYTGAASAGTRCRAAGAGATTTCTAGATTTTGAAAAGGCGTCGAGAGAGTGAATTATAATAATATTTATTAATACTAACTTTGTGTTTAATTGACATGTATCATTAGCGCGTGAAGGCGATGTCCGTCTTGTTGGAAGTCCAAATCCTTTGAAGGGTCGGGTTGAGATCTACCACCAAGACCAATGGGGCACCATCTGTAATGATTTTTGGGRAAACGCAGATGCTACCGTAGTATGCAGACAACTGGGATTTGGATCAGGTAGAGAATTAATAGAGTCAATACCTCACGGAAGGGAAGGGGGAAAGAAAGGAGGGCAGGCTAGGAGGAGTCATTCAGAGGAGGGAGGGGGAAATTTCTTTATTGATTAACATTGATCGGGGAATAAGATAAATACCCTTTTAAAAAAGGTTGTCGGATAAAGGTGCAAATGGCAAATAGTCTTCTTCACAGTTACCTGCGCCATCTTGTAAGGTAGCCGTGCCTTTACATCGAAGCGAGACGACCGTTGAGCGTACAATGATACAAACCTTCTTTCACACCTACAGACAATTTTTCACAGGTATCTATCATTGCACGCTCAACGGTCGTATCGCTTCGATGTAAAGGCACGGCTACCTTTCAAGATGGCGCAGGTAACCGTGAGCGAGACTATTGTCAAACGGCGATTGCACGACCGAAAGAAGCCATGGGTTTTGCAAAAGGATGAGAAATAATAACTGATTTATACTTTAACATAGTCTGTGAGGAACATTGGTTTTATTTTTTACGCAAGTAAACCCAAAATTGAATTTTTGTATGTCAAACAGCGTAACCATAGTCCCTTTCGGTCGTGCATTCTCCCTTCGCCAATGTTCGCTCTCCGTTCTCACCTACAAAATTTTTTTAGTGTATAAGTTGTGTGATTATTTCCTTCATCAGGTCGCGTTAAACCAATCAGTGAATTCGGACAAGGAACTGGGTTAATATGGCTTGACAACGTTGGCTGTAAAGGTGATGAACAGTATCTTACACAGTGCGCCAAGCTCCCATGGGGTTCTCACAACTGTGGCCACAATAAAGACGCTGCTGTAGAATGTTTTAACGGTAAATTATACTTGATTTGCAGCCTTCGTAGTAACTAAATTATACTGGCCAATACATTGTCCATAGATAGTCCAGAATATTGAAGCATTTTAGATGCTACAACGGGGAACCTAAAATCTTTGACAAAATCACTGGAAAAAATCACGCGCTTTAAAGGTTGTAAATTTGAATGTAAACTGATGCAAGTGTCCAAAATTCTGYAAATTTGATGTAAATGATTTCCATTAAATTCACTTAGCTTCTAGCAAAACCAGGAAATGTGCGTAAAAATAAGGTCTTTGTTTGTCTTATATTTTAGGTACTGATTTTGCATGCAAAGGCTATCGTGTACTGAATACYGCGGATCGATCWTCGAACTACATGGTTAAGGGCAACCGCTGTGACAAATACAATGGAATATTTCAAGGCGAATGGCATCGTTTCGAAGGAGCTGCTGGTACATCGATGTCTGAGACCTGTATCCCTGTAAATAGATGCGGTACGCATGCGACTGGCTGGCTTRATGGAAGTAAGTCACGGTTTCRAAATAATYCATCACAGTACAATGTAAATCYAGTCTCATCAAAGATAMYTTACTGTATTAAATTGTAGATAGTCTTCCTTTTGACGAAATCAAGTTGACAATTTAAAGCTTCTTCGCTGCTCGGCATAGTATACAATCGATTGGCACTTAGGTTTTTTCACGTCTCTGGACAGGCTCCCGGACACGGAATGTCACGGAAAACTTATATGTCCGGGAGTTAAAAATCACAGTAAAATGTAAATCCAGTCTAATCAAAGATACTTTACTGTATTTAGGTGTAGATACTCTTCCTTTTGACCAAATTCAGTTGACAATTTAAAGCTTCTTCGCTGCTCGGCATAGTATACAATCGACGTGGCACTTAGGTTTTTTCACGTACTGGAGGAACTCCCGGACAGAATGTCACGAAAACTAAGCCATGTTCTTTTATGTAAGAGAAACGAACATTGCTTATTGCCTAGACAGCTCTTTTAGTATACAATTGTGTGCAGCCGTCGTATTTCGTGTTCTTCGAAAGCATTTCCAACACAATTTCGCGATGAAACTTCATCCACTTTACATTTTACAAGATATCCGCCATCTTGTTATTTTGATCAATACCATGATGCAATTCGCGGAAACTAACATGACGTCATTGGTGGACGAAGCTCACTAACCCTGTTTTTTTTTGTTTTGTTTTTTTCTTGTTTCCAGGACACCCAACAGTCGCAGAAGGAATGGTTAGAAGAAAAGTTTGTTTTCATTGGTCAAGTAAATGCTGCAAGTGGTCTACTTATGTTCGAGTAAGGAACTGTACTACTTTTTACGTCTACGAATTCAAGAGACCTCCTGTCTGCCAGTTGAGGTACTGTGGCGCTGATAGCTTRACAGGTAGGGACTGTCTTTTGTTCAAAGCAATATCGAGGTACTATTTCTCTTCGATTATCGTATCTCAACCAACATGGATAGTTGACATGATGAAAAATATAGCAGTAAACTAGCGTGAGCTGCGTCGGTGTTTCTAAAGAAACAGTTGTGTAAAAAGATAAATTTAACACCGTGAAAAAATAGGTGAAACAACTTACTGACGTTTCGGACGTTAATCCTTCGTCGGAGTTAAGAGGATTATGTTGATAGTTGATTGTATTTTCTTCAACGGTTCTTGTCGAACTCTCATCGATAAGCTCTTGTGGTTGGTGTTGCTGTTGTTGTAGTTCATGTTCGTTGGAGGGTTTTTTTAGTTCTTTTGTTAAATTGCCCTAAGGCATAATGACGTCACAGTAAGTTTACAATGTATATAGATGCTCTTTAGCACCTAGCTTTCTATATATATGCTTTTATTAATTTTCTATGATATTTCTATTCCAGGTCCAACACCACCTCCAACACCAAGTAAGTTACATAAAAAATATCGACCTCTATACAACGACCACCTCTTTATTCCGAACGTTAATCAAGGGCRATAGATATAAGAAATGATTGCGTAAATCTAATCTTAATTTCACTTATTATAAGAACCACCAAAGATAAGAGTCCGATTGGCTGGCTCCACAAAACCTTATGAAGGACGCGTAGAGGTCTGGCATAATGGAATCTGGGGCACAATCTGCGACGATGGTTGGGACATGCGTGAAGCCAATGTTTTCTGTAGACAGCTTGGATTCAAAGGTTTGTAAAAGTTAAATATTTCCGTCTTCCGTCACTCAAGAATTGGTCTGTGTGAAGTCTGTCGGGAACTATGCGCAAAAGCCAAGTTTTTTGATTCATTCCTTCATAAGCTTGTTATTTTAGTTGTTTTATAGAGGAAATAAACATATAATTCCACCAGAAATCTGTTTATTCCTGGATAGACGTCATCAGTCATTGTCCCAATTCTCCGCGTTCTTTATCGTCCATGACCCTCCATTGGGGCTYTATTGGCTACTTTGGAGTGTTGTAAAAAATCAGGGATTTATCCGAATCGATTTTCTTTCACAGAAGTGCTTAAAATTATGTCTAGAATTATAGGAAAATTACTCCAAATAGGTGGTTAGATGCACTTTAATGAGTATGATACTTAGTAAGCTTCTCTACGGTTAGCCTTGTAAACGTAGTTGTGTTCACTTGATATTTATTGTGAGCTTTAGCTGAGTTTCTGTGTTTTCTTGCAAGAGTTTCTTAMTAACACTAATACTTTCGTTTCCCCTAGTAGCTCTACAGCTGATAGTGCGGTTGAACTACAACCCTGCCCCAGCACACGTGGCTCTACCTTTTATATCCCACCCCATGATCCCTTGAGAATATAAGGGATAGGACCCGGTCCTATACAGCCTTATTAATGAATTATTATTATTTTGGAACAGGAGGAGCAGTTAAAGTAGGAATGATATCCGGTGGTGTCCCACCAGGGATTGGCCAAATATGGTTCGACGATATGAGATGCACTGGTAACGAGAAATATATCTGGGATTGTCGTAATCGCGGCTGGGGAAAGGAGAACTGTGGACACGGAGAGGACGCTGGGGTCACGTGCATGACTCCGGAAGGTACGTATTTGCTATGGTACGTATTTGCTAAGGTATACGTATTGGTTATGGTACGTATTTGCTAAGGTACGTATTTGCTAAGGTACGTATTTGCTATGGCACGTATTTGCTAAGGTACGTATTTG